AAGATTCAATCTCATACACCAACGCTTCCTTCATTTATCCTTCGTTTATTAAATAACCCAACTCCGCCATTCCTCAAACGTCATCTTCGTTCAACTTCATCCTCCGAAATTCCGAAACTTCCGAATTCATAAACGTCCAATACGCATAATATATATCTCTTAAAAATGATAAAACGGTCTGTTTCGGTAGCCGAAACGAAAAGTTGAACGAATGGGGAATCGGTGGATACCGTTACCTGTGGTCCCGACCGCTAACATCATTATCGATCTAATGGGGGAGGCTAGCCTAATGGAATCTACGAATTTAATTTGTGGCCCCGGATCGGGCACGGTAGCCGCCAGATATCTTGGAACATAAATTCGAGGCGGGCGCGTCGTTAAAGTCAGCGTGGAGCGTGCGTGCGGGCACGCTGGCTTCGGTGATTTCGATGCGTGGTCGAGGAACGAATTCGTGGAGGGACGGTGAGAGATCCTGCGCTCTCTTGACTTGACGAAGGTCGTCCCGGTTGTGCGCAAGGTCGGTTATTCATCCGACCGTTTTGTTGCACAAGGATTTCGTATTAAAACGCTTTTGTATCCCTCCCCCCCTCCCTCCAATAGGAAACGGTATAACGTGGCCCCTCGTGGGGAGAAAATACGGTTCAGTGGGATATTCTGACGTTGTGAACCGCGATGATCGTGTAACACGGAAGGTGGAAGAGAAGGGGAAATTGCTCCTTCGTCTTTTCATTTTGGCAGGCGTAAAGAAAAAATGTGTTTTTTAACAAGTTGGATGTGAAAGAGAATTTTTATATTTTCCTCTTATTTTTGAATTTTTATTTAATTTAGTAAACGTACAGTGCGTTTATATCCCTCGTTTCGAGGGTGACGAGAGTAGAAAGTAAATAAGGAGGATCTTTATTTGTCTGTAAAATAGATATAAAAGGCAGTAAAAATTTTATGCTGTTTCGGTGTATAAATATACGTAGATACAAGATGTATCTTAATAAAGAAATAGAAGATGAGTTTAATTTCCTGTATTTATATCCCGATCTTTTTTATAATAATCCAATCTCACGGTGTCCGACAAGATGGTCGGCGATTTTCTCCGATTTTTTCTTCGAATTTTCAACGTAGCTTTACGACGCGAAAACCAGTTTCGGCAAAATTTTACGACGATTTCTTTTCTTCGTCGCAAAATCGGTTTGGCCGCCGTTTTTACGTTCTTCTTTTGTTGCATCACGCGGGATGGCATCCCCCCGCCAACCGACTCGCGCCAACTTTCATAAAGATTGATTTTATTGATTTCAAGAAACTGTTTGAGACGGACAGTGATATAGTTCGAGGCGAGTACATCGCGTGATACATCGTTCGACTTTATTCCACTCGGTGATGTTCCACCGGCTTTAAAGTTTACTTTGAGGCGCTATTCTTTTTTAAACGGTATTAAATTTATGCCCGCAGTAAAAGGAGAAAAGTGTCCGCTTTTGTATCGAAACGAATTCTCCCGGCAATCTTCCAGCGACACTTTGCATGTTAAAATTTGAAAATTATCTTCGAGCGTAGTTTTTTCTTTTCTTTTTCTTTTTTTTCTTTTAGAGAAAGAGAAAATTGGCTTTGATTCTTCTTATTTAGAAAAAGGTACTATCACATTGAAATTTCACCTGGATATCTATCTTGTTCGAAGCCTTCCTTCTGTTCGTGAAGGAAGAAAAAGTATATAATTCCTGATAAAAATTCAAAGTAAGTTAGCCCATTTACGAAAATCACGGGGCAAAATTTATTCCAAAAGATATTATCAATTAAAAACAAATCAAAAAAAAAAAAAAGAAAGGAAATCTCCCTTAACAAACTCGTTACGTATCTTAAAGCATCTACACGCCTCGTATATAATAAAAATGAAGGAAAAAGTCGTGTGCGCGTAATAACGGCATCATGACTTTATTAACTTTCTTTTTTTTCCTTCTTCTTCTTCTTAAACGTAATTACATTTAATCCTTAACATGGCCGTATTTTATCACAAAATTCCACGAATATACGTGGAAACGAATATTTCATCCGTATTTCCAACAATTTAATCGATTGATCCTTTTCTTCTCGCACAACAGTTTACCCTCGGGACAGAGTCGTTAAAATTCACGCATTCGTTATATATCAACCAGAAACGCCATTTACCCCGTAAATATAATATATCAACGGCAATAAAGTCGTATTATACGAGTGGAAGAAACGACAAATGGGGAAAATTCTTAAAAAATTCGACCGTTTCGAGGGAAATGTGGGGAAGGATTTGTGCAAAAAAAAAAAAAAAAGAGAGGCGTTAAGGGCACGTGGGCGGTGTGTCGAGAGATGCTGGAGCGCGAGGCTGCACTTTCGCGCGGCGAAATGGATCACGGATGACCTTGAAACTCTTAAGATAACGATCGACATCCGCCTAATTAACGCACACTCGAAGATAAGGACGTGACAAGCTGGCAAAGTGGATCGAACGTGAGAATCTAGACCGATTTTCCCGCCTGTGTATCTGTGAGTAATTCCTCCGTTTAATTAATCCGCGGATCCTCCACACAATGGAGGATCACGGCTCGAGAAAAGTTGAGTGAAAAGTTCTTAACCTTCGATCGTTTTATAATAAGTTCAATGCCGAGTGAGTTGATTTAACGCAACGTCACGTTTCGTTAATGACATCGTTTTTGTTTTTTTTTTTTTAAAGTTTTTAAAGTTTTTTGAAAGTTCGTGTGACACAAAAGATAAATTCGAGATGTTTTTTTTTTTAATAGGTAAGTGTTTGTTTGGAAAAATAAAAAAAAAAGAAAGAAAAAATAATCGAAAGCTGTCTCGAGAGAACAGATATACCGTTTTTCGATACTTAACTTCGATGATATTAAATGGGAACGCGATTAAAAATAATTCGAAGGATACATTCCAAGTATTTTGAGATTGAAATACGTATTCGATATTGTCATATTGAATTAAAATATATAGCATTGTAAATTATATGAGAATTTTTCTGATCGAGCAGCGTCAGGATTGAATTACATCAACGAGGTGGATTTTATTGCAAATGCGAGGTTGAGATACAACTTTGTGTCCGCTAATAGTAAACGGATCAATGCCAATTGTTTAAGGGTTGAAGAGGGAAGAAAAAGAAAATGAGAGATACGATAATTCATCAATGTCACATTTTTTGTTTCGATGTTTTTTTTTTTACGTTCTTTGTTATAGGCAGATAAATAAACGTCGCTTAAACGCGTTACAGCCTTAACGATTCAACATAATGTGTAACATATGTTTCACAATACTTTCTCTTGCACCATTGTGCGGCAACAAAAACTTAATCGGACGTGAATATCACGGTCATAGCTTTAGCGTATAAACGAGGTGAACTAGTGCCTTGAAAAGAGAGGAAAAAAAAAAAGAAAAAAATCGCGATGGCGATCAGATCGTTACTATGCTTGATTTGCTTGCAAGGGAGTGACCGAAAGGTATAGCAATCCTAGAAGAAAAGTTTTTGCAATATCCACGAATTGCTCTTCGATTCAATTATTTTGGTATAATTTTTCATTTCTTGCAAATTCATGGGATAAAATTTTAATAAATCCCAAAGAACGATACAATGTCAGTTTTCAAAATTTATTTTTGCCATAATTAAATTTGAATTTCTTATAAAATTAGGGATATATATATTTTTCTTTAAAAATTTCAAACAAAATATTCTCCATTCTTTCATTACCTAATACTATCTCCAAGAATTGCAACTTACCATCCACTTATCTTATCAACAATACTCTCTCCCAAAAATTCCAATCAAAAAATCCTCAGCAATAACACCATCTTCAAGAATTCCAAAACCTTTTCATCTTTTTTCATCCCACGTTTTCATTCACCTCAACAATACTTTCCCTAAAAATTTCAATCAAAACATCAACAATAATACCATCCTCAAGAATTCCAACCAAAACCTATCAACATATCTTTCTTCATCCAACATACATCCTCAACATCAAAAAAACACCTCCAACAATTTCCCCAATCGACACTATCCTCATCAATAACCAAAAATCCTCAAAAATTCCAACGAAAACTCTTCACACATCTCTTTCCATCCCCCAAGCTTTCACCCCATTCGACTACCTCAACCGAAACCCTCCTCCGAAAAATTCTAATAGAAACACTTCTCCCATCGTGTCAAACACGGAACAGAGGAAAGAACGTTATAAGAAGAGAGCACAGAGTCGGAAGGAACGTCGTCATCCCAAAATTCCCCAACGTCTCGCGACACCCGCCAAGGTTTCAACGTCCGCGCGATGCAACGACGGACACGATAGGTGCAGAATGAGGAGGAGGAGGAGGAGGAGGAGGGGGAGGAGAGGGAGGGAGGCGATTCGTCAGCCCGGTCCCACGACGTTCCGGTTAGCCGAGGTAAATCGTGCGAGGGAGCACACGGTGGCGGAGGTTGAGAATCGCGTGTTAGAGAGAGGGTAGAGAGGCGAGTAGAGGCGATCGGCTCTCTCGGATCAGCTGTGAGAGCGGCGTGGCGCCGTGTGCCGCGGCTCTGACCCGCTGTCAGTTGCCCGAGCCCTGTGCTACGGTTAGGACCGTGCAATCGTCACCTTTTTTAACGAGCACGAGGCAAGCTCCGCGACGTATCGAGACGAACGGGCTTCGCGCGTCGACTAGTCTTCGCCTGGGAACCGCTCGTGTCCCACTCGAACGAATTGGCCGAACGAGAAGACCGTGGTCGCCGATCCCGCAGCCCAAATTGTCGAAATCCTCGTGGGACGAGTGGATTTGGATTTTCAGCGATCGTCGACGAAAACGTCGAGGACAATTCGTATCGAAGCCGAGAAGAGCCGCTCTCGAGAACAAGAAACCGTTCCCTGCGCGAAACGTGATCGTGATCCACGGTTGGATCCGTTCGAATTGATTTCGAAACATCATCGGACGAGAGAATAATATATCGAAGTCGCGAGTTATTCGAAATTGCTTCTCGATCGTTGG